GATGATGTTATAGTAAAAATATTATCTACTGTGTAATACCATTTGCAAACGAATGCCTGGTTCCTTTCTAATGTCCTCATCAAGGATGCCATCAATGCACATGTAGATTATTCTCATAAAATGTATTGATGAGAAGATAGGCACATCAGTCGGCAATTATTTATATTTTCTCAGTTGCTGTGTCGAAAGTGTTAAAAGTGTACCTTGTTCTCATCTCCCTGGTCCCCCTACTCCTTTCCATATAGTGTTAGTAAGTGATTTTTTTAAGTAGACAATATAAATACGCAATAGCAGGAAATGATTGCAAAGGGGAACCTGGAAGTCACATACAAATGCTCCGAAAGATCAAAGGACCATAATTTACAAATTGTATCATATATTAACCAAAATTCACATCCTGGTAATATGTGCTGAATCACCAGAAGCCATTTAGGTGCTGCTGTCTGAATCCTTTGGTCCTAGGATATGTCAAGGTCTCTGCAGTAAGACCAGCAGAAAACCAAAAGGTGCTGATAATTTTGAGATGATATGTTAATTTTAAAGTTTTACCAACTTTGACATGATTTGGATATGTTAATGAACTAAACCCAAGGTGGCACAGATAAGAGTTAGTCTGTTTCCCCAAAATCCCTTTAAAAATGAGACCTTAGACTCCTATGTCCAAGTACTTCTTCATCTCCATATTGGGTCCATGATGCCTAGTACCCCTGATCCATGGTAACGTGTCGCATGTTCTCTGCCTCTTCCCATCCCCGTCCTTTTCCCCATGCTGCCTGCCTTCCTTCACCACTCCATCCCATCCCCACAGCATTTAACTCTGTATCCCTTTTGCTGCTTGTCTCTGTAACCTTTGTGCTTTATTAAAGTGTGATTGCACCCTGCTTGCCACCATGGGCTTTCCTAGCACATACCTAAAGAACTGGGTGTACCTGCTCCCATTCCATAGTTTTGTAAATTAATTATCAGTTGCCGTGGGGAGGAATAATAATAAAATCCAATTTTTTTATACATTCTGTGTCCTTCTCTCTATAACCTATCTTGAGAATTGATCCCTTAGTGCCCTCAAAATTGTGTTGCTTCCATCACTGATCTCTTGTCTGCCTGTCTATTACAGCTACTTTTCCTATTTTTTCCCTTCATGTTCATTTTCAATTCTTCTAGCACTCATCTGGGACTCTAATGGCATGGCTTTTAGGTCCTCGATAGGGAAGAGAGTTTGTTATAAAAATCTTGGTAGAGCTTTTCCTTTTTTATCTGTTTATTGTCCTCCTTCCAGTTTCATCCTTAAAGTTCCTTGTAACTGCTTTCCTGGGTTTTTTTTCCAACTTTATTTAAATTATTTTCCCCTTTGTGTTCCTCATTGTTTTATGAAGGAATGCTGCTCATAATTTTTCACCATCTTTCTCTCAAAGATTTTCCAAAGAATCAATGAGGGAAAAACTAGATAGGATAAATCTCATTCAATAAGCACAAAAGTTTTGTTGGGAATGCATGGTTAGTGGAGTTGTAAAGAACTAGTTCAACCATTCTGTAGAACAATTTGGAACTATGCCCAAAGGGCTGTAAAACTCTGCATAATCTTTGACACAGCAATACCATTACTAGGTCTGTATCCCAAAGAGATAAAAGAAAATGGAAAAGGACTTATCTGTACAAAAATGTTTATAGCAGCTCTATTTTGTGGTGTCAAAAAACTAGAAACTGAGGAGATGCCCATCAATTGGGGAAGAAGTTGTAATATATGATTGTGATGGAATACTATTGTGTTATAAGAAATAATGAGCAGGATAGTTTCAGAAAAACCTGGGAAGACTTACGTGAACTAATGAAAAGTGAAGTGAGCAGAACCAGGAGAACACTGTATGGAATAAGAGCAATTATTTATTGGAAGGATGATAACTGTGAAAGATTTAGTTCCTCTGATCAAGACAACGACCCAAGACAAGTCCAAAGGACCCATGATGGAAAATGCTGTCCATATCCAGAGAGAGAATGATGAACTCTTGAGTGCAGATTGAAGCAAACTTTTTTTTAACTTTTTATGATTATTCTTGTTTTCTTTTTTTTGCGTGTGTTTTCTTTTGCAATATGGCTAATATGGAAACATGTTTTGCATGACTACATGTGAATAATCGCTATTATATTGCTTGACTTCTCATGGGGTGGGAGAAGTTCAGGAGGGAAAGAAAGAATTTGAAACTGAAATTTTTAAAAAATGAATGCTAAAAAAATTTTACATGTAATTGGGAAATACTTAATGAAATAAATAAAAATATATCTAGAAGAAAAAAGAAAGCTTTAGCGTGAGAAAGTTAAAAAGGATGTAAGGAAGAACAGAGGTGTCTGATTTAATCAATAATAAGACTGGAAAACTGGGAACCATGAAATTAACCAGTCATTTTTCCCACTGAATTTACAGAAATATTATTTTCTATGAAACCTGAATTTGAAGAGTTGGAAGGGACCCCAAAGACTGTCTAGTCCAACCCAGCCATAAAAAGTGTTTCTTTTATAACATATCCAGAAAATGGCCGTCCAGATTTTGCTTTCAGACTTCCCGTGAGGTCCATCCATTATCTACTCAGGTAAGCCAGTCCAATTTGGAATAGCTCTAATTTCCAAATAACCAGTGCCAGAGAGTTTAGAAAACTGAAATAGTGAATTAAGCTAGTATCTGACCCAGAGGCAGCAGAGAATAAAAGAAAGAGATCTAGCCTTAGACTCAAGAGACCTGAATTCTTGGCCTGGTTATGCCACTAACTAGCTGTGTGACCCTGAGCAAATCACTTAAACATAAATTTAGAGGTTTAAACTAAGTGACTCTAAGATCCCTTCCAATTCTTCCATTCTATCGTTCAACTCAGATTAAAGCCCCACTCAGTTTGGAGCTGAACAAACAGGATTTTTTGCCCAGGAAATAAAGTATGTCAGATACACTTACAGGCCAGACTTACTAGCCTGAAAACTAGTCAGATGGTGCCTTTAGAAGCTAAATTACACGTACAGAGCCCTAGCAAGTGAATAAGCCTCCCTGCTTGGTTGTTACCGCCATATGTAGATGCCTCTTCTCTAGTTTCAGGAAAGAAGAGAAAGGAAATGTTAGTTGGAAGAACATCGGATGTGGAGTCAAAAGACCAGGGAAATCTTGACTTGTCATTTGCTACCTAGATGACCTTAAGCAAATCACTTACCATTTCTGGGCCTTGATTTTCTCATCTATAACATGAGGAAGTTGTACTAAATAATTTCTATCATCGTTCCCAATTCTAAATTCTATGAAAAGGTGGGTAGGCCCTTTTGTGAATACAGATGCCTTTTCTATGCATTTTGGGCCAGCTCTTAGGGCCTGAGAGTATAGCATTGTTTAAAAGTTTTCTTTACTGAAATGTAAACTTGCTCTTGGAGCAGCTAGGTGACGCAATGGATAGAGCACAGGCCCTAGGGTCAGGAGGACTTGAGCTCAAATTTAACCTCAGATACTTAGTAACTGTATGGTCCTGGGCAAGTCTTGACCTCATTGCCTCCTAAATACACAAACAAAGAAATAAATAAATAAACTTGCCCGAGGAGGAAAGTAGACCCAGGAAAGATCCCCAAAAGGATTTAGACTTCTCTATCATTCTCATTGGGATTTCCTAGTCCAAATAAATGATAAATATTTTGTAGTCTCAAATGTTAAAACATTCTTTACCTGCTTGATAACATCTTTCCTCAAGGGTTTTTACTATTATCAAATTATCTTTAGGGGGGGATGGGGAGAGTCCAGATATGTGATGTCATCAGTGTGGTGGACCTCCTCTGCGCAATCTCCTATCTGCTGCCTCTAATCAGCAGCCTGAGCCACAAAAGTTAAATAGCTTTCCCTAGGTACATGTCAAAGCTAGGACTTGATCCAAGGTCTTCTTGACTCTGAGGCTGACCCTCTTTACCATACTGTTTCTCTAAATTGTCTATACCCTAGTAAAAAAAAAATCTTTCTTGTGATCACTCCATGACATAGCACATGAAAATACATTTTTAGTAATGATTTTCAGTGTATTTCTGGGCAACTTTATCCCGTATCACCTGGGATGGAATGGGAGGGACACAGATGAGAAGACAAGGATCTCTTCCTTCTTTTGATTAGTCAAGGTAAGGAGTAATACTGAATTTTCACATTGCTTCTCATATCTTCTGGTCCACCTCTTTTTTTTCAGTTATAAATTTCCCCCCCGGATTTCTCCTTCCCTGACTTTACCAAGGCTCATCATTGGAAATATGGTTCATTCCTCTTGTCTACCATCACTTCCACTGACTTTTAGGTTGCTCTGATTCTTTAGACATCATGGAGGCCAAATAATTCAAAACTACATAGCATAGGGAGAACATTTATGTCAGAGAGATAGGTTTTTGAGCCTGAGAGAAGAAGCTTGCCATCATTAAAAGCATTAAATCTATATTCTCCAATATCCTAATTAAGATCTTTCTATTTTTTTCCTTCTTAAGCTAAAATACACTACAAGTCATTGCCATTTTATCAATATGCTGATACTGTGTTGTCATGGAAATAATATGTTATGAATAAGATGCCCTTAGCTTGGGCAGGATTATTTCCAATAGAGCTTGACTTTCATCCCCAGAAAAGTGTCCACTGTTGACTTTCTTTTATAGATGTCTCTTTTGGTTGGGAACGTCACCTTCCTAACCCAAGGAGAAATACTTTGATCTTCTCACAGATTGGCACTAAATACTTATGAAGGAGCATTATTATTTACCTGGAAGTGATCCTTCCTTCCAGACAGCAGGACTGCTAAGGGCACTGTGACAGACAACTCACATTTCACAACTACTTCCTTGACATTCTTTGAACGTCTTCACACCTCTTCATCAGGGTCCCTATATTGCAATCCTCTATTCCTCAGAGAAACACATACAACATTCGGCTTGGAGGTGGATATATCTGAAGCCCCTTTCTTTTTGGTTGTTTGGGTTGGGAGGCTAGGGGATTGATTGTTACTAACCTTGACTCTCCCAGCACTGAGTTGAGGAGGCAAAGACCTAGATGCTGCTGTCACTCTTGCTCTTGCCTGGGCCAAGTTACCTATTGAGAAAGACAAAGAACATGAGTTGAATGAAAAGCAAAGGATATCTTGTTTTGGAAAGATAATTGTACTCCATTACTGGAAAAAATGAGGACATAGATAGAGGTTCATCAGCATTGCTCAACCATCACAAGAGACAAATGCACAAGAATGGAGAGGGACCAAAATATAGTTGTGTCAATGAGGAGTGAACATGAAAAACTGTCATTTCTCTGTGATTCTCAGGATGATGTCAGGACAGGGACATTGAAAACACACAGCATAACATTTCATAGTCCTCATAAAAGGACAGCAAGTGTGATTACTTTTCTGTGACCTCTTCAAATTTGTACCAAACCCTCAGCCCCCAAAAAAAAGGGTAGGAAGGAAGTTAATACCATGAAATCCCTTCAATTCTGGGCTGTGTTCTGAAGGGTATCCCTGGCCCTAAAGCTAACGAAAGATGAGAAAAATGATAAGACAATCTCCCCTTTGAACTTTTAACTCTCCCAGATTTGCCTAATCCTTGTGGCTTTTACCTCTCCGGATTGTAAGGAGACTTCTCTCATAAGATTTACAGTCCTCTTAGGAAATCACTGCCCTCTGCACTAAGTGACCTGAAGTATATCTTTTGGGCCTTTTTGTTTGTAAACTCAATCTGATCCTTATGCTAAAGGATGTCACATCATGCAATTGTTCTGGAAAATAAAGGTTGCTCAAGACAATAGTTTTAAAATAAAGTTGTCACTGAAAGGTACCGCTGTGAATTTTACATGTGCGAGACACTGAAGATTTCAAAGTTTTAGCAAGTCTAGCACAAGATGTCCAAATGTTTTCTCTGGCTGTGTCTTCAGAGGCTAAACTGTGATTAATAGCACTGAAAGAACCCTTTGAAGCAGGATTGGTGACATCAAAGTCCTAATCCAGGGGTGGCAGGGTTGGGTGTTTTTTTTTTATAATGAGGGGGAAGCATTTTAACACATTTCAAAGGATTTACAGAATGAATAAACAATAGGCCCCAGCAGAAGCACCCCACACCTTTCAGAAACATAACACATAAATAAGTTTCCATTTTAATTTAAATGTAAATAAAGCGTTCACACTTCTTTTAAATGTTAAGCAGCCTGTTAGCATCAACACTCTATCTGGCGATTTCCGTTTAGAGATGGTTCATTGCTCCAAAATACCCTTCTGAGTCTCCCTTAATGGTAACCACTAAAGAATGCACAGGAAAGAAAACAGAAGTCAAAAAGCATTTAAAAGAATTTATATCCTATAAGGGACTAGAGTCGAGATAGAAGCTGCATTCCAACTGCAAAGAACCCCTGGCAATCTCTGTGCTCCCAAATTAATGAGAAAAGGAAGAAACAGTCTGAGACAATCTCAGCTGGTACATTTAAAAGGGGGTGATTTCTTGCTTCAGAGGATTTCCATCTATTTTCAAGAAACTACCGCTCACAATTTCTATACCAATCCCCCTTTAACAGAAAGGACTGGGGCAAGATCCTATGAGTCCTATTTCAGAAGTCAAATGTACGTCTCAGCCTGTCTCTACTGCCCTCTGCAGGTTTTAGGATTTCAGGACGCATTCTGGTTGGAAGGTAATTTGTTAGCTTGTTACTGGAAAGAAAAATTTAGGCTATAAAGGGGAAAGGGAAATTTCCCCCCTTTGGAGTCTCTTAGCTATTAAAAAATAATATGAATAAGTAAAATAATAAAAATATAAAAGAAAAATACTAATAAACTAGCAGTATTATGAAGCTACTTTTCAACATAAAAAAATTCAAAGGGTTAGGAGAGGTAGCCCAAACCTGGATTTGAATCTTGCCTCTGCCACTTAACTAACTTTGTGGCCTTGGATAACACTTTTTGAAGTCTCAGTTTATTCATCTTCAAACTAGGAATAATGATACTTGAAATGTCTACTCCAGGGTTGGAAGGAAAGAGCACTGGATTCTGTTGGCTTTGTTCCTTACTCCCTGTGTGACCTTGGGAAAATCAATGAACCTCTCTGTGCCTTGGTTTCCTGAGAGGGGAATTAGACTAGATGAAATAAAGGGATCAGATTAGAGTTCTTAACCTTTTTCTGAATCATGGATCTGTTTGGCAGCACAAGAACCCCTTCTCAGAAAAGGCATAAAATAAAACACATAGGATTACAAAGGAAACCCATTATTTTTAAATATTCACATATCTTAGATTAAGAACCCCCTCGGTCTCTAGAATCTGGATTTCTTTACCTGGGATCCATGAAGCATGCACATGGATAGATTTCAAAGGGTATGGGAAGTTGGATGGGGAAAAATATATCATAGTTTTCATTAATTTTTGGTTTCCTTTGCAATCCTATGTATTTTATTTTGTGCATCTAAAAACATTCCGAAAAGGGATATACATGGGCTTCCGCAGACTAAAAGGCTCCCCAGGCCAAATGGGTCCAGGATACAAAAAAAGTCAAGAATCCCTGGACTAGATGATTTCTAAGGTCTTTCAGCTCTAAATTTTGTGATTTAAGTATAAAACACAATTTTCTACATGCTTTTTAAATGTACATAATGATTTCATAAATGTTATTATTAAATAGCTTCTAATTAGTTTATAAAACAAAATTTATCATCTCATCTTCCTCTCTCTCTGCCTTCAGTCTTTTAGGTAGTCTACTTACTTGTGGTCGCTGTTATATTTGTAATGCCTAGAATGTTCTAATTTCACACTTAATTACATTATGGCTATTACAATGTGGTTTTTGTGGAAAGTTTTTTTTAAGCTGCGTAGGAAGAATCATATATTACATTTTTAAAAGCAATATGCTACAGTTTGCTCCTATCAAACCATCACATCCTTAGCCTACCAAAATGAATCTGTTTTATATTTGGTCCATTAAGTCAATTTAAAATAGCTTCAAAATATGGCAAAGTTTTTCCATTTATCCAATGTGACTGGGCTAGATGGTGTTAGGATCTGCCCTGCAGTCTTCAATTTTCCTCCCAACACAAAGGAAGTTTATCTAAGACTAGAGGATGAATGTTAATAGCTGGGAGAAGGTGATTACAATTGTAACTGAGGGCTTGAAAGTGCCCCCTCTCCAGTGCCAAGCTAAGAATGTGGGGAATTCATTTCAATGGGAGGAGCTGTGGTTTTGTGCAGGGAGGGGTACGAGGAAGGAAGAGAGTAAGAGGGGGTAGAAAGGGATGAGCCTTTCTTTCTTCCAGACTGGTTTAGCAGGGGAGGGGATTTATAAACATTTCCACTGTCTTTTCAGAACAGACAGTTTTTTCCTTTATTTTCCTTTGGGAAAGGTTAAAGCCTTACTGAAACCTCAAACATGACTGTTAACTCCTGTCAGAGAATCTATAATTTTATGGATGTGGCTTCAACACGGCACACTGCAATCCATCCTTGTCTTCTTACCCGTAGAAACTCTTGTCTACATCCTCCCATAAATCCTTTGTAGGGGTCTACCCATTATGCTGGGGGAATCTCTTGACATCAAATGGGAACCAACCTACCAAGAGTAGACACTGGCTGGCCACTGTTATCTCTCACTGGCTACACCACCCCCACCTCCCTTTGCACTGATATCTCTTTGTAAGTGTCTCCAACAGCTTTTATTTGTGTTTCCTTTGACACTCTTGGTGCTACCTGTAGAATTCCTGCTTCAGCAAAGCTGAAACAAATATTTTCATTAAATTTTCCCAGGCCAAATATAAATCAGAGCTTTAAAGATTTGTGATCCGATGGTCTCAAAACATTACTTTTTAAAAGAACAGTAACTCCCCACTTCTTGCTTCCTAAACCATTAAAACTAACAAACAGATCCTTGGCCCTACAAACAGCCTTCCATCTAAAAACCAGGATGTTTCACAGGAGGTAATAAAGTTTCTCTTCCCTGTTCTGTAAACAGTGAATCAGCTTGCTCCCAGATCTCTCTGGTTTATTTTCACTCAGAGCCCTTTACTGCATCATGCTTCCCGCCCCACCAAAAAGCAATTAATTTTTCTTCCTTTTATGAAGAGTATCAATTGATAAAACCTAAATTTTTCATGCTGTCATAATGTACACATTATCTCCAGAAAGATCTAGATGAAGATAAACCTGGGTATTAAAACTCAGCTTGCTGTCCATGCCCTGTCTAGCCAGGGCAGAAATAACATGACAGACACATGGGCTGACATATGTTCAACAAAGCCCAGGGAACGTTCATGGATAACATCAAGGTCCATCCAAGCCAATTCAAGGTGCCCAGAAGGAAATAAAAGCCATTAGACAAGTGTTAGAGAATGCTGGAGCCCATGTGTCCTTTCAGGAAAAGCACGAAGATGGGATAACCTTTAAACCAATAACACTAATTGCCTGTAAGCATCCCTAGTCAGGACCACTTATAGCCCAATATTACTCTAGGCACAAAAAGAATGGAATGGGTAAAATGGGTGCCCCCTTTTCTGTAACCCTCTTCCTTTCTTTACCCTTGATCCAGATGTTCAGTGTCCTTAATGCTGCCTCCCCACTCCCACACCCCTCCACTCCACATGCCCCAGATTTGATCTATTATATCGACATTAAGCAGCCCCTTCCATCAAAATTTCTCTGTCCCTGGGGCTCCATTATTCCAACAAACTAATCCTAGTCTATTTTGCTAACCCTTAATTAACTTAATTAATGTATTAATCCACCCAGGTTGAGTATCAAAGATAAACTCCTCTGTTTGGAGAACATTTTATGCAGCAATATTGTAAGGATGTGAAAGACTTAGCTGCTACGATCTAGACAATGATTCAAGACAATTCCAAAGGACCCATGATGAACAATGCCATCCACCTCCAGGGAGAGAACTGATGAACTCTGAGTGCAGATTGAAGCATACTTTTTAAACTTTCTTTTCCTTTTCTTTTTTTTTTGTCTTTTGCAACATGGCTAATATGGAAATGTTTTGTATGATTTCACATGTATAATCAACATCATATTGCTTGCCTTCTCAAGGAGAGGAGACAGACAGAGGCAGAAAGAGAATCTGGAACTC